GTCCACGTGACTCTCATGTCCACGTGACTCATGTCCAGGTAACTCATGTCCACGTGACTCTCATGTCCATGTGACTCTCATGTCCACGTGACCCTCATGTCCATGTGACTCTCATGTCCATGTGACGCTCATGTCCATGTGACACTCATGTCCACGTGACTCTCATGTCCACGTGACTAACATATCCACGTGACTCTCATGTCCACGTGACCCTCATGTCCATGTAACTCATGTCCACGTGACTCTCATGTCCACGTGACTCTCATGTCCACGTGACTCATGTCCATGTAACTCATGTCCACGTGACTCTCATGTCCATGTGACCCTCATGTCCACGTGACCCTCATGTCCACGTGACTCTCATGTCCATGTGACCCTCATGTCCACGTGACCCTCATGTCCACGTGACTCTCATGTCCACGTGACCCTCATGTCCACGTGACCCTCATGTCCACGTGACTCATGTCCATGTGACCCTCATGTCCACGTGACCCTCATGTCCACGTGACCCTCATGTCCACGTGACCCTCATGTCCACGTGACTCATGTCCATGTGACCCTCATGTCCACGTGACCCTCATGACCACGTGACCCTCATGACCACGTGACCCTCATGTCCACGTGACCCTCATGTCCACGTGACTCTCATGTCCATGTGACTCTCATGTCCACATGACCCTCATGTCCACGTGACTCTCATGTCCATGTGACCCTCATGTCCATGTGACTCATGTCCATGTGACCCTCATGTCCATGTGACCCTCATGTCCATGTGACCCTCATGTCCATGTGACTCATGTCCATGTGACCCTCATGTCCATGTAACCCTCATGTCCATCTGACTCATGTCCATATGCCCACGTGACTCATGTGCACGTGACCCTCATGTCCATGTGACTCATGTCCATGTGACCCTCATGTCCAGGTGACCCTCATGTCCAGGTGACCCTCATGTCCAGGTGACCCTCATGTCCATGTAAGACTCATGTCCATGTAAGACTCATGTCCATGTGACTCATGTCCATATGCCCACGTGACTCATGTGCACGTGACCCTCATGTCCATGTGACTCATGTCCATGTGACCCTCATGTCCAGGTGACCCTCATGTCCAGGTGACCCTCATGTCCAGGTGACCCTCATGTCCATGTAAGACTCATGTCCATGTGACCGTCATGTCCATGTGACCGTCATGTCCATGTGACCCTCATGTCCATGTGACCCATGTCCATGTGACTCATGTCCATGTGACTCATGTCCATGTGACTCTCATGTCCATGTGACCCTCATGTCCATGTGACCCTCATGTCCATGTGACCCTCATGTGCATGTGACCCTCATGTCCATGTGACCCTCATGTGCATGTGACCCTCATGTCCATGTTACCCTCATGTCCATGTGACCCTCATGTCCATGTAACCCTCATGTCCATGTGACCCTCATGTCCATGTAACCCTCATGTCCATGTGACTCATGTCCATGTGACCCTCATGTCCATGTGACTCATGTCCATGTGACCCTCATGTCCATGTGACCCTCATGTCCATGTGACTCATGTCCATGTGACCCTCATGTCCATGTGACCCTCATGTCCATGTGACCCTCATGTCCATGTGACTCTCATGTCCATGTGACCCTCATATCCACGCCGTCATTGACCCCGCCCCCTCCCCAAGACCACATCACAGCACTCGGTCTGACTGAGCGCTTCCAGGAGAAATAATAATTAAATTATGAAAATAATAACGCGTGTTTGGAGCATCGGTTTGGAGGAGCGTCCTCTGATCCTTTCTCTTGTGTGAGCAGACAGTCAGTCTCTCTCTCTCTCTCTCTCTCTCTCGCTGATCGAGTGAGCGGAGCGCGCCGCAAGACAACCCACTCAAATACATAATTCACGGCCCAAATCCAACAGAACCGGTCGGGCTGATTCGATTCCGGTTTGGTCTCAGGTTACAACTCTAGTGCTCAGCCCTGCAGTACCACATTGAGGCGGAACCACTTGGTAATTGTGGAGGACGCTCACTCGGACAGATTTGGATGCTGCGCTGGTGCTGCCGTTAAAAAAACAAAACTACATTCCACTATAATCGACGATGGCTGAAGAGATTACACTCTCAACAACAGACTTGTAGAAGATCTGCAGCATCTTGCTACAGACATTGAAGGACCTAAGCGTCCTTAAGAAGTACAGTCTGCTGTGTCCCTTCTTGTAAACGGCGTCGCTGTTCTTTCTCCAGTCCAGTCTGTTTTCCAGATGAACTCAAAGGTATTTGTATTCCTCAACCACCTCCACTTCTTCTCCCATGAAGGAAACAGTGTTTGACTCCACCCTGTGTCTTCTAAAGTCTAAAATCATCTCCTTTGTTTTGTTCACGTTCAAGGTCAGATGATTGTTTCCACACCATGCCACAAAGTGCTCCACCAGCTCTCTGTACTCAGCTTCCTGTCAATCTCTGATACACCCGACGACTGCAGAGTCATCTGAGTATTTCTGTAGATGACAGGTCTCTGATTTGTACTGGAAATCTGAGGTGTACAGGGTGAAAAGAAATGGTGAGAGTACAGTCCCCTGTGGTGCTCCAGTTACTGATCACCTGGTTTGATGTGCAGTTCTTCAGCCTCACAAACTGTGGTCTGTTTGTCAGGTAGTCTTTAATCCAGGCGATAGTTGAGGCTCCCACCTGTGTCTTCTGGAGTTTCTGGCAAAGTACATCAGGCTGGATTGTGTTAAATGCACTGGAGAAATCAAAGAACATGACCCTCACAGTGCTGCCTGCTTTGTTCAGATGACAGTGGGTTGGTTGAAGCAGCTGGATGATGGCATCTTCAACTCCAAATCCATGGCGATAAGCAAACTGCAGCGGGTCCTGATATGTCCTAGTTTGCTTATTCAGGTGGACCAACAGGAGTCTCTTGAGGACCTTCATGATGTGGGATGTCAGGGCAACCAGTCTGTAGCCGCCAATGACTGATGGGTGATGGGTGAGTTTTCTTTGGAACTGGAACAAGGCAGGATGTCTTCCACAGTTCAATTCAATTCAATTCAAGTTTATTTATATAGCGCCAAATCACGACAAGAGTCGTCTCAAGGCTCAAATAATGTTTCCTATATAAGGAACCCAGCAAATTGCATCAAGTCACTGACTATACAGCACTGGACTGGAACCTTCTCCTGGGCCAGGCTGAGGTTGAAGAGGTGCTGCAGAATTCCACAGAGCTGCTCTGCAATGGCCTTCAGTACCCTTGGGCTGATACCATCTGGACCTGCAGCCTTGTTCCTGTTCAGTCTCTCCAGCTGCCTCTTTACCTGACTTCTAGAGACAGATAGGTGGGAGGGGGAGGTAAATGGGGCAGCAGCATGTCCTGACTTGGTTGAAGACACATTTATAGAACCAGAGGAGTCCATGACTGAGTTAGAAGATAAAAGAGCTTGTGTTTGACAGGAAAATGTTGGATCAGAGGAGGATGGGATGTCTGATTGGCTGGGGACAGGCGAGGAGGATGCTGGGTTTGTTCCTGAACTGAACCTATTGAAGAACTTGTTCAGTTCACTGGCTGTGTCCACGCTGCCATCTGTGCAATCCTTCCTCTGCTTGAAGCCTGTGATCTTCTTCATCCCTGACCAGACATCTCTGACATTGTTCCTCTGTAGTTTGTTCTCCAGCTTCTTCCTGTATGCCTCCTTGCTGTCTCTGATCTTGATCTTCAGTTGCTTCTGTATACTCCTCAATAATTCCCTGTCTCCCTCCTTGCAGGTTCTTTTTTTTCTTATTTAGCAGATTCTTCAGTTCACTGGTGATCCAGCGTTTGTTATTAGTGAAGCATCTCACTGTTCTTGTGGGTATGATATTCTCCACACAAAAGTTTATATAGTCAGTCACAAATCCAGTCATGGCATTGATGTCCTCTTCATATCCTTGGCAGACTGTCATCCAATCTGTGGTCTCAAAACAACCCTGCAGGGCTTCTTCAGCATCCTGTGACCATTTTCTCACAGTTCTTCTTGTCACAGCTTGCCTCTGAACAAGTGGTTTGTATTCCGAGTAGAGAAAAACAAGATTGTGATCTGATTGTCCTAGAGGAGATGTTGTTTTGGACATGCATGCATTCTTTTCATTTGCTTAAGAAAAATCCAATGTCTTGTTTTGTCTGGTGGAGCAGCTGACAAACTGTTGAAATGTTGGAAGTGTAGCAGAGTGAGGCATGATTAAAATCACCAGATATAGCCACAAATGCTTTGGGGTTCTGGTTCGTAGCTTAGCGACAACGGAACTGATAGCATCACATGCATTTTCAGCAAAGGCTGAAGGTGGAATATAAACAACACTGATGAACTCTCTTGGCAAATATGGGCGACAACATACTGCCAAGAAGACAGCATCTGGGCTGCAGAGACGACATTTCACTGAAACATGACATGGATGGCACCATCTTTTGTTGACAAGCACTGCCACTCCACCTCCTTTTCTTTTCCCGCTCCTCTTCAGATCTCTGTATGCTCGTACCGTCAGGAATCCTGGCAGAGAGACGCTGGAATTGGGGATATGGTCCTGCAGCCACGTCTCAGAGAAACACATAACACTGCACTGCCGATACTCTGGCTGAGTCCTTGAACGGGCATGGAGTTCATGCATCTTGTTGGCCAGTGATCTCACATTGCCCATTATGATCGATGGAAGAGATGGTTTGGATTTCCTCTTTCTCCGTTTTGCTACCGCTCTGCATCCACGCCTCTTGCGTTTTAGCTCATTTGGGATGTGTGGCTTCAGTTGAGCTATTATTTCAAACTTTCCAATGTTAATCAGCTGCTCCCGATTGTAAACCAGCTTGTTGCCATGGTTACACATCATGACAAATGCTCAAAAAGTGAAAAAATAGCAGATCCTAGCAAAAATCCTTTAAGCTTCATAGCACCAGAAACAGAAAAGTAAAATGTCCAAACAAATACAGTTTTTCTTGAAAAAATAGAAGAAAAAATGTCCTAAGATAGGCAAAACTTACATATAGTCAACAGAGCTACTCCAACATGCAGCCACCCAGAGCAGCGCAGTTCCGGAATGACTTTAAAGACAGGTCAGTCGTTGGGGAGAGAAGGAGAGAGTCGTACCTAGAGTTAGAGAGTGACAGGCTAGTGTTGACGCAAGTCAACCATTTATTCTCAGAAAGATTTTAGCATTAGCATCCTCCACAGGGGATAGGTTAGTTTTTAAATTTACTTATTTTTTGTATTTTGCAATTTTTGAGTGTGTGTTAGCCTGAGACTTGAAGAAGTAGTGCATGTGACACGAAGACTTAGAGTTGGCACAAGTCAACCTATTATTCTTAGTTACTTTTAGGATTAGCAATTCTCCTTGGGGCAACTGATCAGTCTTCTATCTACCTATTTTTTGTATTTTTTAATCTTGTAATAAACTTTTTGGAAAAAGAATCCACATTCCTGATTCTTAAAGGTCCTTTTTAAAGGTTTGAGTGGGAGCCCCGATCCAAAACAATAGGAGAGGTAAGCATATTTTAATTACAGGTTCATGAATTTTCAGGATTTGCTTTACAGTTTGTGACAGATTAAGAAAAAGAAACCTTAGGTGAAAAAGCTAGTCTTCTCCTCTCCCGTGGAGAGGATTTCTCCACGAGGCATCCTAAGGATTGATAAGCCAAAACATCAGTAGGTTAAAATAGGCTCTGTTTGCAAGTGTGAAAAAGTCTTTGCCAGCATGGGAAGGTTGGATTAATTAGATGAATTGATAAATCTATGTTAGTCTGATCAACTAACAAGAATCATTTTCTAGTTACCACTGCCCACAAAAGCTGACAGAGGCGCAAATTAATCCTAATATGACCCAAAGAATTGTCAGTAAGGACGGCCTCCTCTGAACTTCCGCCTCAGTATTTAAAACAATTAAATAACAGGAGAACTCAAAAGGGAAGTGTGCTATCACAAAAGAACGAGTACGGCATATCATTTTCACCTTAAAATAGGAAACTGATTCTAATTAGGGAGTCCAAACCATGGGCTAATACAATAAAACTCACAGGCGCCCCACGAACCCTGAGAAAGCAGCGCAGCCTAAAGTTATTTTTTTTTTTTTTTTTTTTTTTTACCGTGTCCTGTCTGGCTGTGAAGCAAGCAGAATTGATGTCTGAATGCTGGTGAGAAGCCTTACAGATTTATTCTCAGGTGGAGCATCAAAGCGTTTGCTTTTAATGTCACGCCTGATACTTAGAACTTTATTGTTATTGTTGTTGAATGCTTTGTAATTCCGACCAGACACGGAGACAGAGGTGAAAGAGAAAGGAAAAGAAAAGGTGGGGAGAGAGAGGGGGGGGGGGGTTCCACAAAAATAAACAATAACGAACAAGAGTCTGCTTCTAGACCTGCAGAAAAAGACAAAAAAAAAACAAAGGGACACAACAACAATACAACAAGATCTACCTACCACTGCGTCAACTTGATGAAAAGTATATATATATATATATATATATATATATACATATACATATATATATAAATAATCAACATTGCTTAACTGAAGAATCACGATAATAAATCACAACGCATTAAGTGCCCACCATAGTCTTAAGACCTGTGTTCAGGGGTGGACCGTTAAAGCGCCCGAGCGCCAATGGAGCTAAATTTTCTCGTCGGGCGGTAAATACTTGACGACTTACCGCCCGGGTGGCGCCCAAGCCTTATTTGCCATTTATACACCGGCTTTCACCTACATCATGGCCCCGCCCTGTAGGAAGCCGCTGTTTTCGTTTCGCGCGCGTGAACCTGCGCGCCTCTAGCACATACTGCACTTGTACGATTCGTGCACGTACTGCACGATTCTGGTTATTGTCACGTGAACTATAAGTTCACTATTAAAGACGAAGTGGAACCACGCTAGAAACACACAAGCACGCAGGAAGATCGCGCCACCACAGGGATGGGATTTCTTGATGAAATCTCCGGCAAAACGCTTTAAAACTGGTGAGGAGAAGCGAGACAGTTCGAAACGGTATGAAGCAGAGAAGCGTGTGCGTAGGTGGAATGATTCTTGGCGGTTTAAAGAAGACGTGAGGCACAGAGAATGGCCGTGTTCGAGTTGAGCTGCACCTCGCCTGGAACACAGACGAGAGCAGACGGAAGCAGCAGGGGGAGTGGCTGAAAGCCGGCGTTTACGCCGGGGACACACCGGCCGCGGAAGCGCCGAGAAGCGAATCGCTCACGAAATTCGGCCGCTGCTCAGTTCGGATCAGGCGCGCCTCGGCTCAGCTGTAGTTTTTCCTCCATTTCCTCTCCCTTTTCCTCTCTCTGTCGTGTGTGTGTGTGTGAGTGTGTGAGTGTGAGTGTGAGTGTGAGTGTGAGTGTGAGTGTGAGTGAGTGAGAGAGAGAGAGAGAGAGAGAGAGAGAGAGAGAGAGAGAGAGAGAGAGAGAGAGAGAGAGAGAGAGACACTTTGGTGTGAACCAGTTGTTTCTGCCAGTTGAATCTTGGATTTCCCTGCATGTGTAGCTCGGGGGTGACGATGGCTGAAGATATCGCGTTAGCATTCACACTTGTTCAATTTTCAATTTTAATTCTGGTGCCTGTTAGCAGCTGAAACACATCCTCACGTGTTTGTGGATATCATATATTCTATATGAAGACATGACTGTAATAATAAGTAAAGGTTATCAGCTGTCATAGTGTGCTCATAGGAAACGTGACAAAAGAACACAAAACACATTTCTCTTTATGGCCTATATAGTTGTCATCATCAACGTAACATGATTTACAGAATACATGTGACCAACTAACATTTCATGTTCTACCACCGGATGTTTGGATCAAAATATGAACCAATCAGATCTTAGATCAGGTGAGAGCCAGGCGTTTCCCGTCATCCTCTAGGTTTTGCAGCCGAGGGAGAGCAACTGCAGCACCTTGCTCCAAAATCTGCGGCCGCCTTGATCTCACGAGGTTATCGTTGCCAACGTATGCATGACTCAGAGCAAGTCGGTGTCAATTCGGACACAAATCTAACCGACATGCACTGCTCGCCGTTCACCGCTGGTCTAATCTGCGCAGAACTGGCTCATCTCGAACACAGTCAATGGCTCGAGTACAGCAAAGCGGAGTCGGTGATGTACTGCGTTGTATGCCGGAAGTATGAGACGACAAAATCGTGTTTTGTTGAGGGAACAAACAAATTCAAACTTGAATACGTTATTATGTTTGTGAATGTGTACAAAATAAAGGTTTATTACATTTAAAACGGTTCAGTTGTTATTTTGACTCGTTTTGGCAGCTGACCAGCGGGGCCGGTAGATTCTTGGCAGGGCCGGTAAATATTCAGAGTTACCGGCCCGGCTGGCCGGTTGGTTTTGAAGTTAATGTCCACCCCTGGTGTTTAAAGTGCCCAAGCCCATACTTTTGAGAGCACCATGTGAGCACCTGTGTGTGTGTACACGCGCTTGTTTATTTAAGGTTTCTTTATAGGAGCGCCCAACAGAGAGTGTGAGGGACCACAGATCCGCCCCCCCAAAGATGCGCAGGAGAAGGGGGGAGCTCCAAGTCCCAGAGATCCAGGCGCTGCCCCAGAACGCAGGAACCCCAAGGAGACTGCAACCAGGAAGGCCCCCCTCGAGAGGCACAGAGGATCGCCCCGGGGGGCCACAACCAGCAGCTGGCAGAGTCCCTGGAGATATCAGCGGCAAGCCCACAGGCCCACCCGCAGCCTCCCACCCCCTAGCCGGCCGAGCCCGGGACCCAGCGACCCGGGACCCAGGGGCGACCACCCCCGCCGGGGACCCAGCAGAGCCCAGGGACCCAGACCCCACCAGGCAGCCACCAGGATCTAACAGGCAGATGCCAAAATCTTAAACCCCCAGACCCGGTTGCCACGAACACTCAGGCAGACCAAGGCACAAGCCCCCACACCAGGTGTGGCAGGGGGAGGGGGGACAAAGATCTATATCATCAAGAGAAGTTCCAGGAGAGGGGAGGACCCAAAGGCCCCACCTGACATATACAGTCATACACAAACACAGTCACACGCTCCCTCCCTCATGCTCACACATGCACATACAACCCAAGACTTACAAAAATGCACGCCGGACACCCACTCATGCTCCCCATACACACCCAATTCACTCTGGTCCCGGTACTGCTGCACATTGGGTACAACCATCACCGGTAACCAGAGTTTGACCCTTTCTGCTGGGGTGCTGATGAGCAGGCTCCCCCGCCCAACGCTGAGCACAGCAAACCACCACCCCAGACCCCAACCAGACGGCCAGATCTCCCTCCTAGCCTCCAGCCCCAGGAAGCCTAGCAACAACAGAGGTGGCTAAGACCCCTAGTCTCCCTTCGCCTGCTCCAATATAGTGTTGTGTGATCATGAGGTGTATTCCATGGCTGTGGTGAGTGGGCAGTGTGGGCATCATCCGGCATATGCCAGCTGATGCCACCGCACCACCCCACTTACACCCTCAGCCATCAGTGTCTAAGTGCGGTTTAAAATTGGAAGTGGGCACCGGCACTCGGGAGGAGGCTGAGAAATCCCCCTGCCAAATGCCGTTGAATGTGCTCACTCCCAAGGCCCTAAGTGTGTGTTTGTGTGGAATGTCGTCAGTGGAAGTGTATAAGGTGCAAATAAAATTGGGGGGCAGGTTGCCACAGGAATGCGGAAATGGGGTCCATACCCGCACTCCCTGACTTGCCCACCCCCCAAGGTCCTATGTGTATGTTTGTGTATGCAGCCTAAAGTTCTAACAGAACCAGGTTATAACAGAACCGACAGAAAAAGACACGCTCGCGACAAGATCACTAGAAGGCTTTTAGGGTTGTAACAGTAACCGGTGTAGCGGTAAGCCCCAGTAAAAAAAAAAAAGTTGACAATAATAATAACCGTCTTGTTTTTTAACAAATATATTATCTTGGTGGATTACCGTGGCTGCAGTGTAGACGCGGTGACCCTTACCAGCCACCGTATCATCTGCTGAAGTTGTCGGCTGCACATGTGCACTTTGTTGTTTACAACAAAACTGTCTTGAAGCTAAAGCTGAAATAATGGCCAATGGAGGAGACGGCAGCACTCGGGACATTTATTATCCCTCAAAGAAGACAAAGTGGGAAGTACGGGCAT